GTGCCTTAATAATGAACAGACATGAAACTTCCTTATCCTGAGACAGGACACTGGTCTATCAAGGTCAGTCTTGTCTGCCCCGACTGGCGGCAGCTCTTTGGGAGTATTAGGCAGAGGTCTTTCACATCACCTCCTGGTCCTTTTAACTGGAGATGGTGGGGATTGAACCTGGGGCCTTCTACATACCAATAGGAGAGGCTCAGCCACTGAGCCACGGCCCTTTCCCCTTAAGGCAGAAGGACCCCATGGGACGGCCACCCTGAGACTCCAAGTGAAGGGCGGGGTATAAATCCAATCTCCTCTTCTTCATCATCCTTCTTCCTCCTCCTCCTCCTCTTCTTCCTCTTCTCCTCCTCCTTTTCTGGGTGTCCACCAACTGTTTTTAGAAAACGGGGCTTTTGCCTAGCTTGGGTTCTGATTGGCCACTGGAGATTCGATTGGCTGTGCTGATTTTTTTTAAAAAACCCATTGCTTGGGCCACAGCGACCCCCACAGCACGAGGGTCTTCACCGTGTGACTGCAGGTGAGCCGTGGCAGCCGTTTCCTGGTTCGCTCCGCCTCCCGCAGCTCCGCCCACCGTGCTGCGTCAGAACCCCAGAGGTGCCTGCGGTCTCGAAACGGTCGGGGACCCCCGGGCTTGGGGGCCTGCTGGGACTGACTGGGAGTGACGCAGCCCTCCTCCTCCTCCCCCCTCCCAGGTGAAACACCTCGAGGTCAGCAGCGCCTCCATGGCCGAGGACCTGGAAGAGCGCCATCATCGAGACCTACGTGATGGACAGTCGCATAGGTGAGCGGCTTTTGGCGTTCGGGCGGGCAGGGCAACAGGGCTTTTCCGTTGGGGGGTCTCGGCTCCGGGGGCCAGGAGCGGCTCCAGGAGTTAAAACAGTATGAGTTAAAACAGGGAGCGCTGTCCATTAAAGCGCATGGTAAGCGTCACGACACTTGCGATGAGTCGTTCGGCCCGAGGAGCAGGCGCCACAGAAACCTTTAGCGGAGGCTGGATCGTGATGCAGCGCAAAGCCCCGGACGGAGCCAGACACGGACGGGCCCAGGCTCGGACCCTGCCCGCCCCCGCGTCCCCCCGGCCTCCGTGCTGAGCATGGTCCGCGGAAGAGGCCTTTCTGTGTCACCAGCAGAAGTGCGGGGGCGGGACCCTCCGCGGTAGCAGCCAAAGGGACGGCCTCCACGGGGACCTGCTGTCAAAACCCGTTAGCAGTGTCTCCCGTCACAGAGAAGGGGTTTTCCAACTCACCCTGGCTGCAGTACACAGGGACCACATGTGCTCGTACGCCGCACAGCCATCCTCAGCCAGCCTCCCTCGCATTGCCTCCTCCTCCCTTCCCCTGTGCTTCCGTCTAGCTGTGGCCTCGTTCCGGCACAATATCCAGCACAGTCATCCAGCCCTGGAGGACTTGGGCTTACAATCCAGAGCTGGGTGTGGGGAAACTGGGCTTTGGACCCCAGACTTCACCCAGTTACACCCGTCCTTGTGCTGTCAGCAGGCCCGTAGCTACGGCGGGGCTTTGGGGGGCTCTGCCCCCCCTTTTAAAGGCACAGCCCCACAAGAATTTCTCCTGTAAATGATTTCCCCCCCCAATCACTTTTAAACTTTTTTTTAAAGGTCTGTGCTCCTTTAAGCAGAGTGGGGTGCTGTAGTTGACTAATTCCCACACTAAGCAAGGGGGTTGGAGTTGGTGACCTCTAGGATCCCTTCTAACTCTGTGTCAAGAAACTGGTCTCCTTTAAGAGAGTTTTCCTGAATATTAGCTTTCTTGACTGTAGAAGTCCTCACCCCCACCTGCCAGTCTTTTATCAGAATTGTTGCTTAGGCTGGCAGAAGTGATTAGCTTGCAGCAGCTGAGAACTGTCATCTCCAGTGGTTGACAGCTTGCAATTTAGAGATCTATCCTGGTCACAGCTTTCTGTTGGGTATATGGCTTTTCTTTCTGCACTGAGGACTTCAGCCCCACGAGAAAAAAAAATTGCCCCACAAGCCACAGTTCTAAATGCCATTTTTGCAGCATCGTGGAGGGAAGCTGCTCTCGTTTAGGAAAACGAGGAGCAGACGCGTACGTGCCATGCGCCACTCTGGGCTGGATGCCCTGATCTTTCTTTCTCATGGTGCTTTATGCTTCTGCCCCTTTGCTACGGACCCTGGCCAGGGGCTCCCTGGGTTGCAGAAATTCCCAAAGAAATGATACGAGAGATCCAGATTTACTTACAAGGAGATCTTTAATAATGCATCACAGTTACAGAAGATGCAGGCTGAGCTCCAGCCAGCTGGCCTCAAGATTTGCACATGGACAACAAAACTTAGCCAGACGTCAAGACCAAGTGCCTAACTAAAACTACACGTCTTATACCCTAAGCGCTGGCTATGAGTCAAAGAATGATTAATTATGCTATCCCAAACACTAGGATGAGCCAGGCCCCCTTGCACCCGGCATCCAGTAGGTGGAAGAAACAACCCAGGCCTTGAAGATAAGCCCTGCTAACAAGCAGGAGACAGAGAGAAAGTTCCCCTGAGAGCAGCTAACACCGTCCTCTCCCAAGACTACGGACAACTAAACACCAGCGTGTAGCAAAGATGGAGTCACCCAGGCCAATACACCCTTACGGTGGCGGAGTTAAGGTTAGAAACATGGAGGCTACTGCGAAAGGTTTTGAGGCTGGAGAGAGTATGGGAGAGGACTGATGCTCCCTCAAAGCTGTGAGCAAAAATTCTGCTTTGTGAGCTACGGGCATTTTAAGCTGTGAGCAGGCAGTTTAGCTACTGCATAAATTAGTTTGCTCCGGAGCCATCCCTTCCTGAGCTGAGGCAAAAAAAAAGTGAACTGGAGGCTAAAAAACTGTGAGCTAGCTCACACTAACGCAGCCTAGAGGGAACACTGGAGGGGATTGCCCTTGAAGGGCTTTGCCGCTCTGTCCCCGATCCTCCATCGCCCGCGTCTCTCCTCCTCTGTTCCCGCACCGCTTTGCAGTTAGGACGTGTGGCCGTGACCTAGCCTGGGTGGGAAAATGGTATCGGAATCCAAGGGCGAGAGAGAGAGTTCAGGTAATCTCAGAGCTGTCCCAGGTTGGGTATTTGCTTGTAGAAACAGTGGAAGGAGCGGAAAAGAAGCCCGGTACCTACCCTCTCTATCACTGCACGGTGAAATCGTTTAGAGTGGGGGAGGTAGGGTGGAAAGCAAGTAACGTTCAGACCAGCAGGGTGATTTGGCCGAGCTACGGCTTCTGCTTCTGTCAGATGCCGGATGGAACGGATTCCAAACAAGTCGAGATTGGTTGTCACTAGATCCAGGAGTGTTTGTGGTAGAACTCGCACTTGGGGTCACTTCCCGGGTCTTGGAACGTTTGTTGCAGGGCTTTGGTTCACAGCAGCCTTTGGCTCTGATGTCATTCACCCTTGTCTCACACTCAGCCTAACCAACCTTCACAGGGTTGTCATGAAGATGAAATAGAGGAGAGGAGAGCAATGTAAGCCATTTGGGGCCTCCGTTCGAATCCCCACTCTGCCATGGAGGCTCGCAGGGTGACCTTGGGCCAGTCACACACTCTCAGCCTAACCTACCTCACAGGGTTGTCGGGAAGACGAGATAGAGGAGAGGAGAACGATGTAAGCCGCTTTGGGTCTCGACTGGGAAGAAAGGCAAGGGTAGAAATGGAGTAAATAGTAAATAGACGAATACGATAAAAACGAACATTCCCCTCCTTCCTTTCTTCCCTGAGAGAATGTGAATTCTACAACCCATGTAAATCATGCCAATAATGAAGACGAGGAGGAGGAGATTGGATTTATACCCCGCCCTTCACTTGGAATCTCAGAGTGGCTTACAACGTAGTGGTTAAGTGCGTGGACTCTAATCTGGGAGAACCAGGTTTGATTCCCCACTTGCAGCTGTTGGATGACCTTGGGCAAGCCACAGTTCTCTCAGAGCTGTTCTCTCAAGGACAGTTCTGGAAAGAGCTCTCTCAGCTCCACCTTCCTCACAAGGTGTCTGTTGTGGGGAGGGGAACGGAAAGGAGTTTGTAAGCCGCTGTGAGACTCCTTCAGGTAATGAAGGGCAGGGTATAAATCCAATCTCCTCCTCCCCCTCCCCCCCACAAAAAGACACCCTGTGAGGTAGGTGGGGTTGAGAGAGCTCTTTCGAGGACTGCTCTTGAGAGAAAAGCTCTGAGAGAACTTGTGACTGACCCAAGGTCACACCAGCAGCTGCATGTGGAGGGGTGGGGAATCAAACCCAGTTCTCCCAAACCACGACACCTGTCTCTCTGATGTTTCGTGTATATTTGCTTGATTTCTGCTCCTTGTGAGGAAGGGCAGGGAACCGTACAGCACCATGAAGATCTAGTTCCTGCCCTCTGGCCACCCTCCAGGGTCCTCTTCCCCACTTGCCCTGAGATATTGCCAAGCTGTGGAGCCTTAAGGGGAGCTTGGAGTTTGCTTGGATTTTAATCCTTAAATGGAAGCAGAGATTCTCAAAGCGTCCAAGTCCCATGCGAGCGCGTTACAGCGGCGAAATCAAGATCTCTGCAGAGCCATGATCTAATCATAGAATCATAGAGTCGGAAGCAATGCTCCCTCTAAGCTGTGGAGTCTTGTGAGCAAAAATCCCTCCTTTGTGAGCCGCTGGCATGAAAGTTGTGAGCGGGCGATTTGGCTACTGCATAACTTCGTTTCCTCTGGAGCCATCCTTCCTGAGCGAAGGCGAAAATGTGTGAGCCAGAGGCTAAAAAACCTACTGTGAGCTTGCTCACACTAACTCAGAGGGAACACTGGTTGGAAGGGACCTCCAGGGTCATCTAGTCCAACCCCCTACATAAGGCGGGAAATTCACAACAACCTCCCCACCACCACCACCCGCAGTGACCCTTGTTCCATGCCCAGAAGACGCCAAAAACTGCCGGGATCCCTGGCCAAACTGGCCTGGAGAAAAATGGCTTCCTGACCCCCAAAGTGGCGATCGGCATTTCCCTGGGCGTGTAAGCGAGGGCCACGAGAACTAAGCACTGAGGCAACCCTTCCTGCCCTCTCTTCTCGTGATCTGCCCAAGTTCATAGAATCAGCATTGCTGTCCAGTGGCCATCCAGCCTCTGCTTGAAAACCTCGGGCAAAGAGACAGGCCTAGGCTTGAGTTCAACCAGCTGTGGGGCTGTTAGTCCTGGCTAAAGGAGCTGTAGCCATTCTTAGGCGTGGGGCAAGAGGACAGTTGAATATGAGCAGGCGTCCTGGAGAAGCCGGAGAGGACGGCATTTCAGCTTGGCCTTTGCTTTCTACGCAGCCACAAAGCCTTCTATGACCAGGCTGGCTTCTGCTCCTAAGCGAGAAGGAAGGTATTTATAGAATTCATTCGTACCCTGCCTTTCTCCCCAGTGGGGGACCCAAAGAAGCCTACATCATTCTCCTCTCCTCCGCTTTATCCTCACAACAACCCTGTGAGGTAGGTTAGGCTGAGAGCGTGTGATCGGCCCAAGGTCACCCAGCCAGCTTCCGTGGCATGAGTGGGGATTGGAACACGGGTCTCCCAGATACTAATCCAACACTCTTAAACCATTATACCGCACTGGCCCTGGAGTAGGGTTGCCAGACCACCACCCCCGACCGCTGGTGAAGGGTTAGGGTTGCCAGGTCCGCTTTGGGGAACTCCTGGAGATTTAGGGGTGGAGCCTAGGGAGGGATGGGACTTCAGTGGGGTGCAATGCCACAGAGTCCACCCTCCAAAGCATCCATTTTCTCTGGAGGCGAGCTGTAATTCCAGGCGATTCCCAGGTCCCGCCTGGAGGACC